TATTTTCTACAAAAAAAACTTTAATTTTATTTTTTTTGGGGGTGGGGGGTGGTAGGGGGCTGGAGGGAGGGGGGTGGGTCGGGTGAGGGTGGGATAAAAGAATTGAAGTTGAAAAATATTTTTTTAAAATAAGCTTTAAATTTACTTTTTCATCAAATTAACAAAATTTTTTTTTCAACAAAAAAGTTGTAATTTGAAATTGGTGGAAAGTTTTGGAAAATGTTTTCCTTGATTTTTGAAGGGAAATCATTTTCCTTGAATTTGAGGAAAATGAGTTGATTTGGAAAACATTTTCCAAAACATTTAACCCAACCAAACATGAGAAAATTGGAAAACATTTTCCGTTTTCGTTCATACCAAACACACCCGTAGTGGTTCTCATTTTGATTAAAATCTAAACAGATGCAGTGCGTATAAACATATTTTCTCACTTTATAGATAAGAAAGGACTTACTTTTTCGTATTCTGCTGTTGAATCTAAAGGATTATGATGCATAAATCTGTGAGGAACACAGTCATAGACAAGCCTTTTAGAAGATTTATATCCCCGACAAGATATAATCATGAGATTTACTGTATAATCATGTTTCTCTAGTCTTGCTTATTTTAATTTAACACTCACCTGAGATTTACAAAAAGAATTGAGTTAGAATCTTTCACAGCACTACTTATTGGAACCAAGTCGAAGGAAGATGAGACAATTAAATGAAAGGTGTCAATTAAGTTTGGGTTTTGTTTTTGGTGACACTTTGATCAAGAAAGGGTGAAATTCACTTTAAAATGTAATTAAGTAAATTTGGGACCGAATTAACATTTTCAAAACTTCCTAATCTTTCATAAAATACAAAAAAAACACTTTATTTTTCCACTTTTATAATTCTTTCCAAACCATTTAATAAAAAAGTAAAAGAAAATAGAATTTTCTCTTCTTCTTCTCCCAACATTCTCTCTTCTCTTCTTCTTCTTCCTTAGAAAATCCAAAAATCCGACTATCAAAACAAATATTCTCCCCTATTATCTTATCTTCCTCCTCATCTTCGGCCATGACTCTCTCTTCTTTCTGAACTGAAGATTGTGTTCGACTTAAAATAGATAAGTCATTTTTTTGAAAGATTTTACAATTTTCGAACAATACTAAGTTTTTTTCTTGGGTTAATGAACAATAAATTGTTCTATAGATGTGAAAATTGAATAATAGTGTAATGGTACCTATTATTTATTGTTTTTGAAAGAAAATCAACAAACCCAAAAAATCCCTAATTTTGAGGAAATGTATATGTATTGTTAACATTCAGTGAAAATTCATTTTTTGTTGCTTTTGTTGTTTTTTTGTGACCATTTTGTTAATATGATTTTAGAAATATAGTCTTGTTCAGTCGTTCAACATATATTTCATTTGTTGAAAGATGCGTCGTATGCTGCTACATTTTAGTGATATGTTGGTATATATTCCAACAGAATTGTCATATGTTGGAACATATCACCTATGTGTTAGGGCAACAAAATGGTCATTTGTGGCAACAGAAGGTTCAACTGTGGCAACACAATATCCATTTGTGTCAAGATAAGTATAAATTGCTACCCATTATTATTTTATAATCAATTGTAAACTCTCAACCTTTTTTATTTACCTTGTATATGAAATGATACAAGAAGCTTCATCCAATGACAACAGCTCAAACTTTTATTGGTGTTGCTTCCTCTTCTAATATCAAATGCATTTTTTTGTCTATGCGAAGAATGTGAGCAGCAACATGATTATTTTATTAGTCGTGTTAAAGAACTCACTGATATTTTTAAGAAAATGACTTATGATATTGATGTCCATACATCCAAGAAGATTTCACAACATTTGAAGTATAGGAGGTTGAAAAAATCTCTTTCCAATCACTATCTATAATTAGTGAAAGAAAAATCAATGACTACTGCTCCAGTATCACACTCAAACCCAAAAGGCAAGGAGAAGGAG